AACGCAAATAGACCTGGGATAAAATTCTGCATGCCCTGAACGTGTTTCGGATACATCCACATCATCGAACCCATCTTTATCCACAGTGTGTGAGCAACAAAACACGCAGAGATGCAGCTCTGCTAAAAATATATATAGCATGAACAACAAAAACGGAATGCGTGACTAAGATTATTCACTCAGGGGGGTTGCAGACTGCCAGAAATAGTGCAAATTGAGTTCACTTTAAGGGTTAGAGTTAAGGTTAGGGAATCATGGGAACTGTATTTTATTGTGGCACCAGAGCTCTCTGACAGAGAAAGCTCAATGTCTCAGGGAAAAAAAACAATTCCCATGATTTCTTAGCACTAACCCTAACCCTAAAAGTGGACTCAATTTTTTACTATTTCTGGCAGTCTGCAATCCCCCCATAGTGATGCTAAAAAAAACCCAATGTCTGAATAACCTCTAAGATCAACCCTGGAGTTCACTTTCTACTTTCCCTTTTTCACCAGCTATTGCCCCATGCCTCTCCTAGTTTCCCTAAAAAGGCAAGGATTGCTTTATATACCATAAGTAGGAAAATATCCAGGCCTACGGGGCAGGGCAAAGCCAGATGTGCCAAAAAACCTGCTGAGTTTTAAGACCCGCTTGTGTGATGATGCCTCCTTATATCTGAGCATGTGAAACAGAAGATCCCTGCAAAGCCTCTTTTGTGACTCTTCTGGAAGACGAGATGCAGTTCCGCCGTGTTAACCTTGCTTTAAGTAATGGTGTCAAAATACTGTCTAAATATACTTCTCTTTCCATCACTGTTGCAAACACCCACAGAGACCTTGTGGCGTGAAGAGAAGGCTTTTTCCAAACTGGCAAAACCATTTTTTAAAAAGGAAATTACTAACGATTCTCCATTCAGTTTGCAGAACTCCCTCCTCACAGAATATTTATGAACCTGAGCAAAGGGAATTAATTACTTGGTATTTGCTGGGGTTTGGTTCCAGGACTTTCCATGGATACCAAAATCCATGGATGCTCAAGTCCTATTAGATACAGTGGCATAAAAAACAGTGTCCCTTATATAAAATGGCAAAATCAAGGTTCGCTTTTTGGATTATATATTTGAAATACATATACATACATATATATATGTTTTTCAAATATATAATCCAAAAAGCGAACCTTGATTTTGCCACTGATTTTGCCATTGATTATATATATATATATATATATCAAGCCATGGATAGTTGAATTCGTGGATGCAGAATTGCTGTATATAGCTAGCTGGCTGTATTGGGGGTTTTCTGGTTGTGGTTTGACTCCACATTTAGAGGAAACATATTTTCCTTTGGGGGGGGGAAACCCTAACAGGGCAGGTATTATTTGCAGCTGCTTGTCACACTCCATTTATTGTCCATTTAGGACTGGTCTCCACAGTCTGTGACCCATCCAGTTGAATGCTACTTTTCCACCATGCATTTCTGCCATTTCTGTTGAGTCCTGATGGATTGGGCTCATCTGGGTTGACCACAGTTATGAGGTTCTACTAACAGGGACACTGAACTTCTCTGTATGCCTTATGAAGCGTTATAGATTGGAGCATCTGGAGAGCCAGCTAAGGTGTAGTGGTTAGAGAATTGGACTAGGATTTGGAAGATCCAAGTTCTAGTCCCTACTGAGTCATGAAACTCACTGGATGGCCATAGACCAGTCATTTTCTCTCAGCCTGCCCTATCTCACAGAATTGTGGTGATGATAAAGTAGAACAGAGAAGAGACACATATGCGGGTTTGAGCGCACTGGAGGAAAGATGGGAGACCAGTGTGACTTAAAAAATATTATATCAAGGCAGTATAGAGTAGCCATATATATCATGATGTGACTGTCTGCCCAGACTGGCTTTTGGCTGCCTAGGGCTAGAGAAGTGCTTTCTAAGCCCTGTTTAAACATTGGAAGGGATGTCATATTGAGGATGGAGCAAGCTTGTTTTCTGCTGCTCCAGAGACTAGGACCTGGAGCAATGGATGCAAGCTCCAGGAAAAGAGATTTCACCTCAACATTAGGAGGAACTTCCTGACAATAAGCCCTGTTTTCAGATAAAGATTTTTAGGGATTAAAAAGGGAAAATGTGAAACAGGAATCCAGATTTCTCTGCTTCTCCTCCCCCCATTCCCCCCTCCTTTTTATGCTGTGATAAATCTAACACAGATTTCAGAGTTGACATATGAAGGCAGTATTTTGTTGTATGAAAAATAAAATGGATCAAAAAGGGTGGATAGGTATTGTTTTAGGATTTTATATGATGTATTTTATTGTTGTTAGCCGCCCCGATTGGGCTCAGAGGGGCGGGATATAAATTTATTATTATTATTATTATTATTATTATTATTATTATTATTATTATTATTTAGAATACCCCTTTGTAGGTATATTCAGCACAGAAGCATCTTAAATAGCCTTGAGGTCATGAGAAATAATGATTCCTTGAAATAATGAGAAGCCTTCCTAAGCAAGTGGCAATAAGTTTCTGCGGAAAGCTCTGGATAACATCTTATGTCCTCGAAAGTTATTCAGTAAAATGGAGAAGCATTCAGGGAGAGCAGTCTCACGTGAGGAAAAGGCATGGTCATGATGAAGCAGTTTGAAGGGCTGCAATCAATATTTATTTTAGAGGGAGTTTTTACAAATTGCATTTCAAGTTGTACTTTCCTCCCCAATAACTAAGACAAAACTATAACCTTCGAGATGACTCAGAAGGAAGACATCAGGCAGACTCTGCCAATATTTTTCATGTGTTCTGAAAATAATCTGCTGATCATCCAGTTTCAGGAGAAAATCCTTGCGTAAAAATTAATAATATTGCAGGGGATCTGTCATAACCCTAAAATTATACTGTTCATGTATGTGAGAGTCCTAGTTTTCCTCATAAGACATAGGCCCGGTTGTGTTGCAGCCAAAGAGGAAACTATGCATCCCCTTTTCATGTTAATTATGGGTAATTACTCGTTTGTGGTACCTAGTGGATGAGGGAGAACAAAAATACAAAAGAAGAAATAATGACACATAAATTTCAGGAAAAGATAAATCT